AAAAAACGGTTTTTCTCGATTTCCGGCAAAACTAAAAGTCCTATGGAAAAAAGTCAAAGGGCAAAGTTGTAGGTAATAAAAGGATCTAAAACTTTTGCGTTTACACTTTTTTCAAATAACCTCAAAATTTATGTGAAAAATTCAAAAAACCAATTTTTTGATTTTTTTTTCTTTTTCAAAAATCTGGCTAGGACAGATGTCAGCAAATTCTTACGCTAATCCACGTAGGCTCGTACACCGGTCACGGTGAAGCCAGAAAGCGTCGAGGCTACTGGCAGATTACAAACACGTTTTAATGAAAAATGTAAAGCATTTAATTTTGGATAAAATTATTGTTTTAACTTATTTGGATCGTCTCGAAGGTCAATTTTTACATAGTTTAAAATATGTACATAATAATATGTACAAATGTAAGTTATTAAACATATATTTTCCATTACTTTACTCGCTTCTTTTCAATCATCTCTTCATTCATGTACTAGTATTGAGAATTGGCGATAATGTCACTTTTAGGAAAAATGTAATGCTCCACATTTTCAAAGTTAATTTTTTTCTTAGTTTACTCTACTTATTCTTTTGGAATTATTTTAATAGATAAATAAACATGTAAAATCTCTGCACCACCCTATGGTCGACTGGAAGAGAATGCCCATGGCATTAAGTCCGCCTGTGTACAAGTTTTGTTTTGTGCATAAAGTATAAAAAAATTTAAAAATAAATAAATAAATAAAAACAAATACTACATTTATTTTTTTGACTATTATTTTTTTAATGATTCAACTACCTAATTCGCGATTCCGATTTAAATACATCTTTGACTGGACGAAATAACTACGTTCCGTTAAATGAGGATTGTTAAATTAAAATTGTAAACGATATTATGCAGCAAATAAACACCTACGCATATTTGAAGCATTACTGATACTTACGGTAAGCACAGCACATCTGGTCTTAATAATGTATGTATGATAAATCACGCACGAACCTAACACGTGCTGGCACGCAGCTGCGTCTTTTTAGAAAAAATGCATTGATTAAAAAAAAAAAAACTCTCAGAAACATCTACCAAGCAATGTATTGTGTATAAATACATACCTCAACAGATAGTGTGGGCAAAATGTACCAAAAAACACGAACATACGAAATAATTGTGGTTGCTGTTGTGTATATTATTATTATTTGTATTGCATCTTTAATTTAATTTGCAATAATGCGGAAGAGAAGTGCATCGTTATTGCGTCGAGTTCGTGACAGTGGCAACAGTCTTTTGAAAATCATATCGAGCAAGATCGAGGGACTGCTGATCAATAGCCTTTGCAGTAGGCACTTGGAAGGAGAAAAAATAAAATAAAAAATGTAATGGTATAAAATGTATATATATAATGATAGTTATGTGTTAGATTTTTTAAGTCANGAACCCTAGCAAGAGCCGTGCTTCGCAGAATCTACCACCGGATCGGAAACGCGACCCACTGAGAAGATCCGGCGAGAAACTCAGTGGGCTGTGTCTGAGAGTTAATTTACTCGTCGAGCCCTTCGTCGCAAGCGACGGGTTCGACGAGAACGGTGACCGGTGCTTGAAGTACCTAGAAGCACTGTTAGTGGATCGGGAGAATCCGAGATGACGTGTTTTGGGCGACGTCGACTGCTTTCCATTCTGTCCGCAGGATCGGGAATGTAGTTACCGGCGGCCACGATGAGAGGGTTCTCGTGTCGTGCCGCTTTATCGAAGTGGCGCATCGACGCCGACTGTAGATACTTAGATGACTGCTTGATGAAATAGGCAAGATACGACATACATAATATAAGAATATACATATAAGAATAGATAAGAAACATACTTGTGCAAGCTTACATTAAATCATACTATCAGTAATTATGCAATATTTATAATATAATTTTTATGAAATAATTAGAAAGGTTTTATTTACACACCGGGCATTTTATTATTTTCTGGGCAGTCCAAGCGAGCGTTGTTTACATGCCAAATAAATTATTACACAGATTGGCGGGCCAGAAAAAGGACATTTTAATGTTATTGGTATTTCCAGATTAAAAAATATTCATTGGATATTTTCATACCTTCTTAACTCATTTTTTTATAAGAAATATATTTTATGAGTTTAAATTAAGCTTTGCTTTATTGCAGCAAGAATTTTTTGCTGGTCGTTGTTGGCTCAAGGGCCATTAATTGGATAGTCGTTAGGCCACGACGATTTTCTATTATTATTATTGAGGAATTATGATAAATTGTATGTATTGAAGGGATATACGGCATTAATATTGAGTAGAAGAGAATTAGGTTGTTAAGAAAACTAGCTTGGTAAATTATATTTTCAAATAGTTTAAATTTTGTAGCAATAAATTGTCAGTGTCTTGGATGAATTATTTATTACTGCATTTATATCTATCGAACGCGACGCATATCTTACAAAAAAAAAAACTTGTCACAATTTTATTGTTTATGTAAAATGTATTTAGTTCAAAGTGGTTCAGTTCGTTTATTTTAGATTTACTTAAATAACTATTGAATTGGGTGGATTTTGTTTTGATTTATTCGATTAATTAATTAATTTATTTATTGATACAGATTATTTGCAATTACGTAATTGAAAAATTGTCATATTCGCGTTCGAGTAACGAATTCTCCCTATTTTCTTTAAACTAAAATATCATCGTATATTTATGATTTTAATGCATCACATTCAAACTAAGAAGGCGGTGGGTTCCGAGGCGAACGAAGAGAATGGGGATTTTAGGGGGTACTACGACCGTCGACGTCAAAACGCGCGCGCGGCGTGTCCTCGTCCCCCGCCCGCTGTAGTACGTACCCCACGCGCCACACAGTGCGGTTGTTCTGTCTAGCGAGGCTGCGAGCGGGACGCACGTTCGTAGTCAATGTGCCAGCATCGTGAGCGATCGTTGTGCTGCATTTGTATTTTGATTTTTGTTGTCTGTCAGTCCGCGTCGCGCCGCCACACGAAACGGTCGTACACGCGTAAACACAGCATAGAGTTAAATATCAATTTCGCATTCCATCAATTTTAGTAGTGTTTACTTTTGAGCTTGACTGTTCTAAAATTATATCTGAATGAACTGTGATAGTGTTTTGAACAATANGCATGTTTACAGAAGAGACTAGAGAGAGGAATCGCTGAGACCGTGCGTCATCCCTGATCAGGCAAGTGTTGAAGTCTCCAAGGATCAAGACATGGTCATATATAGAACATACATTTTCTAACATACTTTCAAAAGATGAGAAATAATCAATGTGACTTGAAGGACTATAAAAAACACCAAGAAGTATCTTGGTGTGCTGTATAGTTACCTCTATAAAGAGGTGCTCAGCAGATTGAGTATATTCGCTTGGTGACTGATCAACGACTGCATGCTTCAGATCAGCACGGAGGTAGATTGCAACACCACCACATCCGCGACCCGTCCTGTCATTTCGCAAAAGTTTGTATCCGGGGAGTGCATATTGCGAGGATGGGAGTGAAGGCTTAAGAAAAGTCTCAGAGACAAGCACAGCGTGAACATGGTCTGAGTCAAAGGAAGATAATAGATCAGGAAAATGTGCGTGAACACTTTGAGCATTGATATGAACGACGTTGAAACATTTAGAAGAAGACGAAAGGGCATAAGCAAGTTGATCGCGTAGATGAGTGGAATCGTCATTATCAAACGCACTAGTAAAGCTCCTATCAGAAGAAACAGAAGAAGAACATGACAAAAAATTATCATCAGTGTCACTGTACATGAAATGCTTTAAATAAGTAATAAAAATCAATAATACCAATAAAATAATAAACAAAGATTAACAAAACAAAAAAAAATAAAAATAAAAATTACACCTAAAATCGTTAATAACTTCTAAGAATACAAAATATAATATTATCAAACTAACCTCCAAGAAAAACAAATTACAGACAATTATTTTAAATCATCAATGATTTGGTATACCTACAACTAAAATTGATGGCCAAAAGCCACAGAGCCAAAGTTCGATTGTAAAGGAGGTAGGTAACATACCAATACATGTCATTGTGTCAAACTTGTCAAAGTCATATCAATGTTATGTTATTATGTTGAAATACGTGGTTATACATAATACATAACTAAGTTTAACCAACAAACATAAACTATAATATTAACTTATGTATCAAAATTAACAAACGCCAAACTAAGAAATAAAGTAAAACAGAAAGATAGACATAAAAATGAGTATGGAATACATCAAAGAATTTTAACAAAGTAAAATCATTAAAAATAAATATTATGCTATACTTTCCTTAAAATAAATAAAGTGAAACATTATTGTTTAGGCGGTTTACGGATCCTCTTGTCCGACGTATTCTTGACCTGCGACTTTGTGGTTTTCACGGCTTCAACAGACTCATCACTAGGCGCTGGTGCCACAGTGTACTGATTTATCAACAGACGGAGCTCAGCGACAGTCTCTATCTTCCGACGTGTTTTATCAGACAGCTGGATTACTATTTTGCCTTCTGATGTCCAGCACTGCTTAAGGCCAAAATGTTTGCGAGCACCCAGAAACGCATCATGGCGGGACTTCGTCAAGAATTCAGACAACGTCAACCCAGAACCCTTCAGCAACACCTTATTCTTCCAAACTTCACTTCGATGGCTATGGCATTTGAACCTTATTAAAACTGGACGAGGCTTGCTTTTATTAGCTCCAAGATGATGACAGGTTACTATGTCAGTTGAAATTATATGACTCAATTTCATGGGACCTTTCAAAATATCCAAAACAGTAGCTGAAGGGTCTTTATTATTGTTGACCCCATGAAGCAACAGTACTTTCCGACGAGACATCATTTCGTGTCTGTCCAGGCCCAAAGTAAGCAACTCGATTTGAGTTTTCAAAGCACTTAGTGCATTACACACAAAGGATTTAAATTCAGCAAACTCACGGGATAAACTCGCTATGGTTTTATGTGGGAGATCTGTGGTAGCTGCATTCTTCAAANCGTGAGCGATCGTTGTGCTGCATTTGTATTTTGATTTTTGTTGTCTGTCAGTCCGCGTCGCGCCGCCACACGAAACGGTCGTACACGCGTAAACACAGCATAGAGTTAAATATCAATTTCGCATTCCATCAATTTTAGTAGTGTTTACTTTTGAGCTTGACTGTTCTAAAATTATATCTGAATGAACTGTGATAGTGTTTTGAACAATAATAATATTCAACGTGTCCTATAAATCGAAATGAGTGGATTGACCACCAGAGTTAAAAGAGGATCGAGGGGTAGTGCTACTCTTCTGGAAGCTGCTAATAGAATTTTGCGATTACTCGGCGTTAGCTCTACAAAACGCGGGAAACAACCCTCCCCAAAATCGAAGGTAAGGTCAACGACTTAATGTAGACGCCCCGGTACCCACAACTGTATTTTGTTATGTTGATGCACACTCGTTTATAGAAAGCGCCTACTCCGTACGATACATAAGATTAAATTTAAGAATACGCTTCTTGTACTATAATTATTGAATTACTTCAATACCACAATACTTACTGTTAATTATTAATGTAGGAGGATTTTGTTTAGGTACTTAAATTAAAAAATAAAACTTTTATTAAAGCTTAATTACGCTTTGTGATGAAACTATGAAAGTGAAAGGCTTGGAATGCGCATAAGTACAAAGTATGTCAAGAGAGTAGCCTTAATAATGATTTAACAGGTATTTTAAAATTATTTGTTGAAGTAAATATATTATCAATTTCGAAATTCAAAAAAAACACCTCTAAATCTTTGATATTAGTTTGTTTTTATAAATTTTCATCTAACGGATTCCTTAATATGCTAACGGTTTTTACTTGTAACTTTCCCTCGATGGCAACGTACATATGTTTTGAATCGAAACGCTAAATAATTTTAATGTGTCGCGACTAGCAGGCGATGCAAACAAACGAGCGAGTCGCGCGCTGTGCCACGGCACTTGTTTGTTCACGCGTCGGCGGCGTGACCACCTTGTTTACCACGACGGACGCTTCACAATCTCCATTCGTCATTACGTCCGTAATGATAAATCATAAAAACGTTATTTCAAATGTGTCCGAATACAACATCGTAGACTTATCAGCGATAATATTTATATAACAAGTTTTACGGTCATTTTACGTAAACTATAAATAAATATGTAAAATGATATCACGAATAGTTAGTCAACTACGCTATGACGTAAGACTACAGAGCAGATGTGTCTAGATAAATAGTAAGAATGCATTAAAGGTGTTTCGCGACCTACCACAATAAAGTAGCAAGACTGTTCCACAACATGTTTAATTTTTCAGGTAACCTACCTAAAGTTATTTCAGTTTATTCAATTCTGATTATTTTAAACAGAACCTTTTTTTGCTTTTAGAATCTTATCAACTCAATGACGCGGTTTCGTCATGATATTTAAATGTCATATTTACGTAATCATTCATACGATGTCGTAACCAACATACACGAAAAGGCTGTAAACGTCCATCTAGGTTTTTCTGATGAAGGTTAAATGTACGTGGTGAGATACTTTCTTCCTGAGACAAAATCGCGAAATAACATCGACAGCTTTAAAAAAAAAACTGATAACATTTTTGTTTTGAAACAATGATTACGACATTATCAATGAGAGGTCATTAAATTGACACGTCGCGCGTCGTGTCTAAAACGTGGTTAGTAGTAAAATATCAAAATATTTCGTATAAAATTAAAACATAGAAAGTAACAAAATATGAGATAAGATAACTTGCTAATACATGTAATAAGACTGAAAGTAAAGTAAAGAATGTATTAACAAAGTACAGGACAAATTTTACAGGCTTTGCAATAAACGTGCAACATCCGTTTTAGGTGTATTTGGTACAAGGTCTCCGTGTTGTGCTAACCTCCGCCGTTCAACACCGATGAAAATTAGAGTTCGGGTTAAAAAAGTATGTCGTGGCCTGTTAACTTAACGCGATTTAACAGTTTTTTCAATTCACGCTATGTTTATTCAATATATACAAAAAAAACCACAATCTATAACCGGACAACAACAATAATATCGTTGGCGATCAACAATGCAGCGCATTTCCTTTACAAAAAAAAAACCGCTCCGAGCAAGTAACGTAGTGAATTTGGTGACGCAGAATGCAAAATGCCGGTTGAAGTCGGTTATGAAGTCTGTGTACTATCTACTGGAAGGAAGAGCGGAATGCGTTGCGAGTACCGTTGCGGCAGCCGCGGAATGCGAGACCTACTTGCTTGCACGGAATGGCAGCCTTATTAATTGTGCTTATGACTCATTCGAAACTTCAATGGACCACACTGAATGCTTATTGTTAGATGTGATCATGTGATTCAGTTACATCTTAACGCATAAAAATCTATCGATTAATTTATCGAAACAACATAATTCCAGTACAAAACTTTTTATGTACAACAAACAGCCAATAATTTCGACCAAACAAAAAAAAAGGATTGTAGGTACCCGTTAATAGTTAATACGCTCCGTGAATTATGTTTTGTCACACTTTCGTATTATTGGTCATTCGGCTATAGAGTGCCGTTAAATTGCAGACATTCGGTTCATGCGGACAAAAATTGAAAAATATGGTTGTCTCCGTCTCACTTGATGTTATTGAATGGGAGCCTCATTTTTTGCACGATGACGCTTCCATTAAAAAACGGACAAAAAACTTAGCAGCGAACGAACTCGAGAAATGGAGCATCGAACTTGGTTGATGGTGCCAATGAACGTCAGGGATATACACAACTGCGTAAAAGAAAATATCAGAACAACGATATTTAAAATATAATTTCGGTCTCTTTCGAATTTAAAATGCAGTTACTAAAAATTATATATATAAAGTATAGATGTATGTGTAGTATGCGTATGTTCGGAAAGATGTTCGTCCTTTTTTTACTGAATAAGAAAAATAATCCATACAAAATAGTCTTTCGTAGGCTGTGACTTTAACACTAAACTAATGCTAAAGGATGTCAGTTTGACAGATTAAAATATCAAAAGTAATCTGATTCATTTTTAGAACTTTGTTGACAAACAATACCTATTAACCCAGGCATCATCCACGGTGAATTTTATTCTAAATCACTTTAAGAAACTTCGATTTAGAACACTTGCTTACACTCATCGTAAACGGACTTCGTCAGTTAACCTATAAGAAAAAAAATATAAAAGGAATCTTTTTTTTTACAGATTGGCAGTCGAGCGTCTAGTGAGGTCCGTGCTCCTATTGCGGCTGCTGAGTCTATAGTGGAAACTCCGGTAAAAATGCAGGCTTCACCGGCTACGACAGTTACGGCCCCCGCCCCTGCTTCATCTCCGGTACCGAGCCAGTCTCACAAAACTACTAAGCGATCTGCAAAGGATTATATCTTCGGAAAATTAATAGGAGACGGCTGTTATAGTACAGTCTTCTTAGCCAAAGACATACACACCGGGAAAGAATATGCAAGTAAGTGTACATACACCACGTTTGATAGTTTTAAAGTTAAATTATTTAATTTTATCATAATCATAATACATTACATAACTAAAGTAGTAAAATATTCATTAATTTGTTTCAGTTAAAGTCTGTGAGAAACATCACATAATACGAAAAAAGAAGCGAGAATACATAAAACGCGAAAAAGACGCTTTAAATATGCTATTTAATGTGCCCCACGGTTTCGTTAAATTGTATTGTACGTTCCAAGATGAAGAGAGATTGTACTTTGTATTATCTTATGCGAAGAATGGGGAACTTCTTTCATATATCAATAAAGTTGGCTCTTTCGAATTAAATGTGGCCAAACATTATGCCGCTGAATTACTATGGGCTTTAGAGAAAATGCACGCGCAAAGAATTATTCACAGAGATTTAAAACCGGAGAACATACTATTAGACGAGAACATGCATTTGTGTATAGCCGATTTTGGTACTGCAAAAATTCTTAATTCCAAAGAAATTAGCTCTTCTCCGAAAAATAACGAAAATGATAATTCACAAAATGAACGTTCAAGGAAAATCAGTTTCGTTGGCACGCCTCAGTATGTTAGTCCAGAATTACTACACGATTGTGTTGACACTCGGGCTTCTGATCTGTGGGCTTTGGGATGTATTATCTACCAGATGATATCAGGATTACCTCCTTTCCGCGCTGCAACGGAATTTTTAATTTTCCAAAAGATTCTCAAAATGGATTATGAATTTCCGGAAGGTTTTCCAGCAGATGCTAAAGACCTTGTAGAAAAGTTATTAGTGCTCGATCATTCCAAGCGAATAGGAGCTGACGATAAAGGAGAGACGTACTACAGTATCCGCAATCATCCTTTCTTTGAAGGCGTTGACTGGGATAAACTGTGGGAGCAAACTCCACCGAAAATCAGTCCATACCTGCCAGGAGGTTCATTTGAAGAAGAATATAATGTGCCCGACTATCTTGAACCAGGTCTTGGAAATAAAGAGCTAGTGCGTCTTTGGGGAATAGATTTATCGACATCCAAAGGTTTGTTTTCAACTCTACTTACACTTTTTTACTAAGCTTATGAAAATAAATGAAGCTCTAACATACACACTTATAATAAACTAGGATTGATTATAATTAATTACCAAATTTAATAAGGGTTATTTTTTGTAGGTATATTGAACATCAGCCCTGAAGAAAAACGTCGCCGCTTAGAAATTCAAGCCCGAGATAGTAAATGGCATCAATTTGTGGATGGTGAGCTGATACTGAAACAGGGCCTTGTCGACAAGCGAAAGGGCCTGTTTCCCAGGCGCCGGATGCTGCTTCTTACTACTGGACCTCGACTATTCTACGTTGACCCAGCAAATATGATCCTTAAGGGGGAAATACCCTGGTCCCCAGAATTGCGCGTTGAAGCCAAAAATTTCAGAATATTTTTAGTACATACGGTAAGAATAATACAGTATTGATTTTAAGTAATAATTATGATTATGAATTGTGATATTATTAATTATGATTGTGTGTACAAAAATACAGTACATATTAAATAATTTATGTATTTTATAATTTATTAATTTAGACTATTTCATACTATATTTTCAAAATATAATTGATGATCTTCTGGTCATATTATATTAAATTTGTTATAATATTTTTGCAGCCGAATCGTACATATTACCTAGAAGATCCAGATTCTTACGCATTGGAATGGGAACGTGTCATCGACGAAGTGCGTATTGAAACATATGGGCGCGACACGACTTAAATGCCGGCGCTGCCGCAGACCCGAGCAGAGCCTGCGACGCTGCCGCGGCCCTCGGGCCCCGCGTTTTATCACAGCACCCCACTCGTTGAGTGTGCACATATAGGAAATTGTAGCCTTGGCTTCGAGCATGGCCAACATCCGATAATAATATGTTCGGTCAGTACGACCTCCTGACCGAAGCATCCGTTGCACGGCGCGTCGTGAGCCGCGGGCGGCGCCACATTTGTTCCAGAGCGCAAGATGAGACGCCCGCGCCGCACGTTTCGTACACCGGATCCTATTTAATGAGGCGACGACGTGTTCTAATGATGAATCACTGTGGATATTGATTGACTGATTCCTATTAACGTTTAGTAATGATATCCCAACTATTTTAAATTATTCTAATTATATAAGTTCCTTATTTATCGTGATTATCAATGGTGATGTGTAAATATTTGTCTTGTTGCGATTGCTTAGTTATAATGCAACGGTCACTGTGGCATTGCATGCTACATTGCGGCCGGATGTAAGTTGCATTCGGGTCTCATATACAGACTTGTAATCACCACCTGCGTGTTCACAAAGCTCATTCCTGTTGGTAACTAGGCAATTTATAGCTAAATATTATTTATTTATACTAATTTTTTTGCCAACGGGATTTGGATTGCTGTACAGAGATAACTGTAGGAAAATTGTATCATTAAATGAGGGCCTAGACAACACAACAACATAGGTCATATTGAATGGAATATGAATTTTAGTAAGTTACTATGCAGTTTAATTTGACCTATACCTAGTGATTGCGCCGTGGATAAGCTGTCGAAAAGAGAATGGTCCGGAGAAGTGTTAATATACTTACAATTAATGTACTGCATGAAAGTACTCTCCAATTAAACATTGTCGAGAGTTTGCAGCTTCGTGCATAAATATTTGAAATATAGGTAATTCTAAATAGTAAAGGTATACGGAATTCCACCAAAGGTGACAATTATAAATTAATTGCTAGTTTGTGTGGTATATTTGGACTTGAGTTGATGGTTTTATTAAATTTCATTGGTAGTGATCCTTTGCAGACTGAATTTTCATGTAAACAATCTTAGACTGTTCAATGTCATGTGTTTATCTGATAATACCGATTTAGTTTCGTGAACAAGAGTAGAGGTTTAAATTTAATTAGTTTATTATTCAAATGCCTAAAACTTGCCTGTTATATTTAAATTAGGGCTTATTGTAAATTCGGGATTAAATCCATAGTCTAATAGGAAGTCCTCATTTCATTTAGCAAATTTTAGGTAATAGATCAATTTAGTGGGTTCTTTAATAAGATATTTATTTATGATAATTCATTAATATGGCCAATGTATTATAACACAATTCACCCGATACCATTTACTTTGGATTTTCCATGACATTGTTATCAAGCAATTACAAACTGCATTTAAAATTTAATACTGTTAACTACTATAATTATATTTACAAAATTTGTATCACATAAACTACCTACATCAAGTAACAAAATAAGAAATTGAAAATAAATTGAAGTTGATTTTTAATTGTTTATTATTATTTCTTTCAATAACGTAAACCTGTTTTTAAAATAAAGTGAATAAAAGTGAAACATGTTTTTTATTGCAATGCAATCCAGTAAGTTTATGTACGTGTGGAAATTATTACGAAATACAAAGAAAAAATTAATATATTTTATAATTATAAATGCAAATCATACACCAAAAACGGATAAAGTAAAACACAAAAAGAAGAAAATTAAAGCATTTTGCAATTGATAAACTGCTGGAGATGTAACCTCAGGAGTGTATGCGTCCGGTAAGCGGACGGTCGTAAAACTCATGCCATAGAGACTCCCAAGGATTGGGGATTCTGAATAGGGATGCAGCATGATACATGCTGCGGCTAGTCTAAATAATGTGGGATCAGGCCAAGAAGAAGTAGATAATCCAGCACATATAATCTATGCAGCACATGATTTAGGTACCTACTTCGACATTAGCAGTCAAGTAAAAATAATGACGTTTCCGCTTGTATTAATGGTGTTGCCCGAGAAATTCCCTTTTCCTTATTCACATTCGCTTTATTTTTTATAGCTTGCACCCATGTTGCTCGCTCATTTTATAGCGGTTACGCATACTTTCCTGAACTATTCGTATTTCATTTAATAATTTACGACTCAGTTCTTAGAGCAATTTGCTTGCTTTACTAGGACGTCATTTCATTTTATCTCACCTCGTCTCGTTGCACTCCATTTCATTCAAATCTATATAAGTGTATTACAATTTCAAATAAACTAATTTCATTCCGCTTCCCATTTGACTTAAAGTATTATACAATAATTAGAGATTTTTATCAACTGTATGTATGTTGTGACAACAATAGTAAGGCGACGGGATAACGCGAACTCCCCGTCACTCAAAACATGACTTGTCGGATTCTCCGAATCAATTCTCGGTGCTTCTAAGCTTTCCAAGAGCTGGACATCGTTTTCGTCGAGCTCGTCGAATACGACGAAGAGTTCTACCAGAGTGCAGCTTAGCTTATAAACACAACCCACTGAGTTCCATCTTGCCGGATCTTTTCAGTAAGTCACGATTCGATCCAGTGGTAGATTCAGCGAAGCGCTGCTATTGATAGATTCAGCGAAGCACTGCTATTACTAGGGTAAATCTTGAACAACGTAAGCACCATTAAGTGTAGGACATAACAAAAATATGTTGCTTTTGGGTTTGCCTTAAAATTTTAGGGGAGAAGGAATAGGCCACTTTTCTATAATTTTGCTTAATATATCTATCTACTGTTGTCCATTATTCTAACAACTACAATCGTACTTCGTGGCTTAAAGGCTTCGTAATCAAATCATAAAATATTCGGAAAAAATAATTCACTTCCAAAGAGTAAATCACAGTCATAGACCTANTAAAAAAAAAAAAAAAAAAAAGGTCCCAATCATTCTTGTTGAACCCGTCGCTTGTGACGAAGGGCTCGGCGAGTAAATTAACCCACAGACACACAGCTCACTGAGTTTCTCGCCGGATCTTCTCAGTGGGTTGCGTTTTCGATCCGGTGGTATATTTTGCGAAGCACGGCTCTTGCTAGGGTTCGTGTTCGCAACAACTCCAGTTTTGAGCCTCGGGAGTTCACCTACTGCTCGGTGACGCTGATATGGTCTTTCAAGACTTAGGTAGCAAAAAATAAACTGAGTGCTATTATCAAACCCTTTGCCTTTTTGGCGGGAACGCGAAGAGTGAAGTTGTGTGATTTGTTTTATTTTGTCTATTTAGTGTTTCTTCAGGTTTAAATGTTTATTAACTGTTTAGTATCTCTGAAAGTGCACAAAAGTGGGAAAATGAAACAAAGCCACTGGACGTAACTTCTCGGGATCCTCCAAAAAGTGAGAAAATCTCAGTAAATAACCACCATTTTACTGAGATTATATTTCATCCCATATCATCTCATTTCATTTCATTTTATGCCATACTTCATAATATTAATCAACTTCATTGCATTTCACTTCATATTATCATTTGCAGAGTTAATCACTACATTAATCAAATTACTTTCTCAACCTAATTTATCTATACCGTTCCACGCTGCTAATTTAATTCATACTTACACTGATATTAATAATGGTCAACATGGACAGTTTCCTTCGTTTCTTATTATTCATAAACTCTAAATAATTAAAACGACGAAAAAATCATAATACTTGACTTTCTCAAATATATTAAGTGTATAATCTATGCTTGACTTGGTCATACCTGGCGAGCAATGAAGTAGGAAACCTATGGAAATGAAACGTCAACCAAAATTTCGTGCCACTGTGAGGTCATCTGGCCACAAAACATGGCGGCTTTAGTGCTGTATAAAAGATTTCAATGTTATCAGGTTTTATCGATAAACGTTCTTGGCTCATTTTATTTTAAATATTGTTGAGTATTATTTATTTGTAGAATTTATACTTTAATGGGAAGTAAGTAGGTATATTGTTATGTGCAAATATGATATGATTTAGATGGGTGAAATCTAAGACAAGTTCGTCCTTCGAATTTGCCAAGTAAACGATATGATGATTTTTAAAAGTTGCTACACTGATTTTATAAAGTTGTCGTTTGTCGCAAAACATAAAGATATGGCGTAGTTCAAAGCCATCAGCCCATTTCTAGCATGCTAAATGTTATCGTATTTTGAGTACGTGTTTTTCTTAGACTATTACAATCTATTTTAATTGTTTTGCTGACTCTAAAGTCCGTAACATACTACCGCAGCGCACCCCAAGGAAGGTGCGCCGCACCATTTGAATCACTTTCGCTTGAGAGTGATTCAAATTTTAAACTTATCAAGGGACCGCGTGAAAAAAAAAACACCTACAGAACATTTATTCATTAATTACAAACGTCATTCCTTGTGACTTCCTCTCTAAAATCACTTAATTATTAAATATTTAACAAATTTACAATAGTGTTTTACTCACTGCGGAATAAAACTATTTTATTTAAATAGTTCCGAAGAGATTTTGTCGGTAGCCTTTTTCCCGAAATATCTAAACAGAATGTCTAAATATGTTTTGATGACATATTTTAAAGTGGTATTTATGATTAGTGTCATGATCAATAGATTCCGACCGAAAAATGGATTTTTCGGATGAGGGCTCCATAATGAATTTAAATACATATAGATAATAGTTTTAGGACATCGACTTTCTTGAGATCCTATAAAATACGTTTTAATTATTATTTTTGTATGTTTTAAGCATGATAAATTATGAAATTTTATATAATCAATCATATTAAATCGATATCAAAGTCAATAAATAATGTACAACCCAAAACAGACGGCCGAACTGACGTGACAATGACATTTGGCGCGCTAAACATGGCGGATTTTCGGCCTCATTAGACGGAGACGGAGATATTTACGTATATTCATGTTTCATTTTATGTACGCACTGAAATACTGTTATATTGTTTTCCTGCGAGTTAAAGTGCTGAGTAAGAACGAGATAGATATATGTTTATGTATGTGCCTTCAAAATGGGTGCTATTTATGTAAGCAATTGTACGTATAGAACAATATGTCGTGTCCCTACTATATAGGTCTATGCTGGCGAGCCACAATAAAAAAAGAATCCCTTTAGTAGGGGTGTGACTTGAAGGGGAAAAAATCGATTCCTAAATAATCGATTTCTCTCTCTTTAAAATATATCGATTTCCTCTATATAATCTATTTTTCTAACTATTCCAAAAGTTGCATTTTTCGTACATAATATTTTACCAAATCCACAATCTGTTGGTTTTAAAAATAAAAAACAAACGCAGGTTTTTTTAAAATAATGATTGAATAATAAACAAACTGAATAAAATTATTACTACAAATTTTTAGTACAATTTAACATTTTATTGTAATGTATTTAAAATCAAATGATTAATACAAAAGAATGAAATGACTACCTATTATACACTATTCCAATTACGAAGTCACATGAGACAGACGTTGTTATTATGTTATTGTGTGTGTGAATTAATTGTATAATGATTTAGATTGATTGTGTATTTTTTTTTATTTACTTTCAAATTATGCGAAACGTGAAGAGTTACGTTCTAAGAAGTGTCAAAAGGGACTTCGTAATTGGAATAGAATATAGTCTCAAAACTTTTTACTTCTTCCAATTTGACTGTGCCGATTCCAGCTATCCTGATCTAACCGAAACACAATTTGATAAACTTGAGCGATTACAAAATTTCTGTATAAGATTCAATTTGGGTTACGGAAATATGATCATGTATCTGAATTTCGCGCTACGCTCAAATGGTTGCCAATTCACCTTCGCCGTAATGCTCATGTTCTTTTCTTACGGTATTGTATTCTCTTTTACCACCATACGCTCACATATCTCAAAGAACGTTTCGAATTCCAGGTGATACACATAATTTTCCCTGAGATCATCGGATAACCTGAGACTGAAAATGCCGACGCATTCATCATCATTCTTTGTTAATTCAGTAACCATCCAGGCGGTTCGATTGTGGAATGCTCTGCCAGATGCAGTGAGAAGTGTTCCAACTTTAAACTGCTTTAGAAGAATTGTGAAGGAACATTACTTATCTGCTTAGTGTTGTTTGTTGTATTATCATCATTTATCATTTCCATACTGTTGATTTATTATGTGTATGTAAGTATATTAGTATGTAAACAAGTATGTGTATTAGTATATAAATCAAATAGTTATTTCATATTATATGTAAACGGTATATATCTATGTATTGTATGTATATTTTTTCTTTATTAATTATTGTCAATAGTACACGGCAGGCAGTGTGACAGTGTGGCTGGCAGTGGCAGCAGGAATGTGTTATATTTTTACATTTTCCTTAATTTCCGTAAATTAAACAGTTGTCTTCGCTTTTAGCGATAATGCCACTTATTGTATAAATGTATCTGATTTTGTGACCTTTTTCATTTCAATAGTAAAATACAAAAAGAAACTTTTTTAAGTTTAAACAATAAAAAAACCTATTAAAAATTAGTAAAAAAAGAGAGTAAGTAATATCATCGTTTTATTAAAAATAGTTTTTTAATATTTAGGGAACCAATTATTAAAATCGATTTTTTCATTTTGCGGTTTCATGGTCAAAGACTTATTAAGTGTGTTATCTATAGTCAGACTCATAGATTATACACTTAATATATGTCAGACTTTTTGGCGGGAAGGCGAGGAGTGAAGTTGTGTGATTTGTTTTATTTTGTCTATTTGGTGTTTCTTCAGGTTTAAATGTGTAATAACGGTGGTTTATTAACTGTTTAATATCTGTGAAAGTGCACAAATGTGGGAAAATGAAACAAAGCCGCTGGACGCAACTTCTCGGGATCCTCCAAAAAGTCCACTGAAAAAGTCTCAGTAAATGACCACCATTTTACTGAGATTATATTTCATCCCATATTATCTCATCTCATTTCATATGATTTCATTTCATTTCATAATGTCATTTTTCATATAAAAAATATATAATATATATAAATTAGGCTGTACGGTATGATACCTTTGCCTTTCCAATTGGAAAAATAAAACTACCACTGCTATCTATCAAAGAATAAAAATAGGAATAAAATAAATAAAATTCAACTTTAAGAAATATTAAATCCACCTTAAATTACTTATACACTTAATTCCACTTAAAGAAAGAAATGGCTACCGGTACTGTAATAAAATATGTTGGAAGAACGACTGACTTTAAAGGAAAATCACTTTGGGAAATCGTTGGTAGCCTAAAGAATTTTGGTGTAGGCAGGATTATTGTCAGATCTGTTTTCTTGCGTTACCCAGAACCTAGTTTTATGAAAATCGTGAAAGTGCAAACTTGCCCCGACGAGGTAATGTAACTGAGTTATATTAAATATTGTTAAGATGTCAATATCATGTGCTTAATATGTTGCTTTGCCAGTATAATAACAGTAGTTTAGAAAAGAGTCCGAGAGGCAGCAGCTTGGCTCTGCCCCTGACATTGTAGAAGTCCATGAGCGACGGTAACCACTCAGCATCAGGTGGGCTGTATGCTCATCTGCCTATTAGAGCAATAAAAAAAGGATTATGACATAAAGAGTTCACACAAAATTGGCAATATTGTTGTGTGCCGAACTGCATCATTGTATTGGAACATTAAGATATGTGTAAACTTACATATATTACAGGAAAGGAGAAGAGTACGTGTTTGGGTTGAGAAAACATTCAGAGGACAAAAACTACCCAATCTTACAGAAATATATCGCACATCATACAAAACTGATTATCAGCTTATCCCTAAAAGAGAAGAAAGTAGGTTGTTAGAGTCTATAAACACCATTGGAAGTAAGGCAGATGTCATATTACCGAATTCTATTGAAATGCCACCATTGATGAAACTGTTTATCATTAAAGATCATGAAAAGAAAGGACTAGAAGTGAGTAGGACTTCAAGTGCAATTTAAAAATTAATAATTAGGGATCTGCATGTCTCGCAAGTTATATTGTTTAACTACTATTTAAGTATGACTATTATGAAATTTAGAGAGATTAAGCAATATGTTATAAACATAAATAAATAGGAACTGCAAGTATGCTTACATGCCTAACTGTTGTGTTTATAGAATTTTAGATAAGCAACAGTCTCAGTTATAGAGGCCTAGACACAAATATATAAGAAACCATTACTTTCTTATACAGGCTTCTATTTCTCTTACGTAGAGAGAGAGTTTTAGAGGTTAGAAAGATGGGACCAGGCAATTACTCTCACTTTGAGATTTCTCGCTTGCCCATTTCTTACTTAGTCAGGTTTGACTGTATCTAAAAAGCCCCATTAGTTAAATGAAGTACTTATCTATTATGTTTAATATTATTCCTTTATTCTGAAATTGAACTTGAAAAAATTGTTGTGTGGTACACTTGTGGAAATGACCCACACTAATTTGCCACTATTGTGGGCTATAAGGTATAGAAACCTGTAAAACCTGCCATGAATGATTGAACCACGGCAGTGGTGGCCTAGAATAACCACTGGACCATTGGCCACGCAAAACTACTGGAAAGAATTCGATCCATTTTTATTACTCCATTGACACTTGGTTCACAATGTTGTAAAACACGGCTAATAGATTCACTAGAATTTTTAGTGCTATGTGAGCATACTGTGATTGCTAATCATAAATGAAAAAGGCTTCTTGTCAGTATCCATAGGTAGAGACCACTATCCTGCCTATTTCTGCCGTAATGCAGTGTAATTGAGCATACTTTGTAATTGAGACTCAAGGTGGGTTCCGACATTCACATGCCCATGGGTTCTAGTGCCCACCTTATGATCACATGAGCTCAATCACATGTTTAAAAAATTATATATAACATACTTTTTCTATTTTCAGACCTCCAAAGACTTCATGATGCCCCTCAGTTATAATCAAAGTCCAAATAGAACAAACAAGATAGCAAAAGCCAATGAACAACCCACAATAAAGTTTACTATGGGATTAGGAAAACCAGTCAGTCCCTCCCTGTATGATGGTATCCCTCTATAATAACAAATTAACTAATGTTGTTGAATTAATATTATTCAGATAGAAATAAAACACTGTTAGAGATTAAATCATGATTTACTAATTTAAAGTCTCAAAATAATCACCTAGTTCTTCTGGAAATTCGAAGTAGATGCAAACCTCCTGGATAAAAATGGATTTGTATCCAATTCTGGAATACTTTGTTCTAATTTAAGTTTCTGGAAGAAAAAAGTACAATTCATCGTGCTTGTGAAGAGCTCAAAACTATAAGCAAACGTATTTCATATCACACTAAATGCAAAATGCATTTTTTCACATTGCATGATTAAGTGTGTAATAATATAAGATTTTTGTTTAGCTTTTTTTTTTTTGTGTCTGATGCCATAGGATGAGAAGACTTGTTCGGCAGTATGTTTCAAAGCTTGCGTGGCAAGTATGATAATAATCAAGATTTGTAGTGGTAAATATAGTTTGATAAAAATCAAAGGGCTTGAAAACTTTTTTTATTTAATTATGTTTTATGGTGTAGGTGCATGGAACTAGTTCATATTAAAAGTGTTAGCTGAGGCCTATACACATCTAACGTAAATGCTGCCTTCCACTTTGAGACATAAATTCTATTGAATAGTGTTATTATGTGGCTCTCCTATAGTGAAAACTGGAACAAATATTTCGATCACGATGTTATTCGTCTTACTCATAGAAGTAAGACCTGGATGCTTCAAAATGATGGATGGTAAAATTATATTATATTCTATAGGTTGGTGGTGCACTGAACAAGTAATAGAATATATGTCTTCAGTAAAGTATTAAAATATGAAATATGTCGGCGCAAATATGACTATTTACCTGCCTATTATAAAAATAATAAGGATTCAATGTGATAAGCGGATCATCTGGTCATCAACTAATTACTCTGTGTTTGTTAAGATGAGAAATTGATGTTAAACAGTCCCTTTTATTGTAATTTTAATACTTTAAAAACTTGTAAACACGCTGACGTGTACCAAGCCCTATAAATACGGTCGTACTATCTAGCGCTTGGTCCCTCCCGATCCACTAACGGTGCTTTTAGGTACTTCAAGCACCGGTCACCGTTCTCGTCGAACCCGTCGCTTGCGACGAAGGCCTCGACGAGTAAATTAACCCTCAGACACAGCCCACTGAGTTTCTCGCCGGATCTTCTCAGTGGGTCGCGTTTCCGATTCGGTGGTAGATTCTGCGAAGCACTGCTCTTGCTAGGGTTCTTGTTAGCAACGTCGTCAGGTTTGAGCCCCGTGAGTTCACCTACTAGTTAAGGTTACGCTGGAATAGCCTCTCAAGGCTACTAGCATAGGTAGGAAAAATAAAAAAAAAGCGCTTGGTCATTCGTGTCCGAGCCGTAGCACAGTACGGACCTCTCTGGAACGTTGTCACGTTTCTCGTTAAATATACGCAGTTCTCGCGAAATTCTCGTGAAGTTTTGTTTTGGAAGCCCAAACATGAGTCATCGTCAAGAAAATAGCAACTGTGACGTCACACTTTTAAAAACATTACGGACGTCCCTCCTCCGTCATATATAAAAATGAATTGCTGTTCGTTAGTCTCGCTAAAACTCGAGAACGGCTGGACCGATTTGGCTAATTTCGGTCTTGAATTATTTGTGGAAGTCCAGAGAAGGTTAAAAAGGTAGATAAATATGAAAATGCTCGGAATCAACTAAGAATAACAATTTTGTTTTTCCTTTGATGTGTCTCCGGTCGGACGGATTCATTTTGTTTGTTTTAAGTTTATTTTATACAAAAGTTTAGGTCTTTTATTTATCGATTGAGACACTACGAAGTCTGCCGGGTCAGTATGAAAATAAAATATACCCTCCAAAAATCACGCATTTCTTGTACGTCATCCTGTCGCTGCACAAAGTACTGGCGCACTGTCTTCTGGATTAGGGTTGCAGCGTATTCTTCGGGCCATAACCACGATTTAGGGTAGTAAGGACGAGGACTGCAAATTCATTTCATAAAATTCTTAATAAAAATATAAATTTGTTTTAATTCTGGGCGTGTGCGATAGATGACGCTACTAGGTACTACAATAATAATAATATCATTTATTGCCTTTCACACAGATTTAGATTAATACATTTAGATAAATATAAGAAAAGAAAAATAAATGTTTATTTAATTTAAATCAGATTCTTCATACAACTTTCATGACCAACGAAAAGAATAGGTACCAGTGTTTTCATTGATTGAATATAACGTAAATTTTAGTTCATTTGTAAATTTCGATGATAGCCTCCCAGGCGCACTAGATCCAACATATGAAATACAAATTTCTCGTTTCATTGGGATTTTGGGAAATTGGGATTAGACGATTGCGATATCACTTGATTAACTGTCAATAGGTTCAATATCGGCAAACATCTTAAGACATGCCTTCTCATGCTTAGCGCTTATCTTCCTAGTCATATAGTAACACTATATCCGGTTTCTGAAGTGCGAGTTTTTTAACGCCTCGATCGCGTAAAAGTTAACTCAAATTTGTATGGATTTGGAACAGCGCCCCTAGCGGCAAACTTAGGGAAGCTTTTACGCGATCGAGAAGTTAAAAAATCCTTACTAAGCACACAGTTACCATTTAATATTAATTTTGTAATTCCAGTGGTCGAAATTTGATCATGATGACCAGCACCAACACGTCTGTCCTCTATCATTTTATACATACAGACATATTTAAATTGTAATATACTTATAATTTCTGAAGAATGGAAGAAAAAAATACTAACGTTGTAGTTGAATATTTTATGTTATATGTGTTATTGTTTGTGCTTGTGTGTTCACTCTTTTTGAGTAGATAGGTAAATAAGGTACATATTTCTGAAATTGACAAAATATACATACTTGTTCTTGAGGTGTTCTCGTGCCCAAGGCATATTAAATATATGCGGACTTTGGAATTTGCGCCCTGGATAACGTGGATTATTGTTCCACAACACCTGCGTGTAAATATGTACCTAGTTGTAAATCTTTTCAACAAACGAGTACAATTAAATAAAAAACGCCTTTAGCAACGATTCCAGGAAGCGTCTAAGTATGGATTTTGTTAATGCACGTTAGAAAAATGTTCATTTACGTGATAGAATGAATAACGATTCGAATTAATTTTGTTGAAGTGAAACTTCCTTATCGGCGTTGGAAAAAAATTTACCGTCACATTTTTCGGTTACGCGTCACTTTTTTCCGTTACGCGCCATCTTTTAATTAACGGCTGTATGTTCTGAAGTATGGATGCGCATTTGAGAAACCGACCTCATGTCTCAAGGTGGGTCACGGAATACATTTTGTAATTGCAATAATCCCAGGTAACCCACTTAATATCACGTGGACCGTGCTATTATTGTTATTACGTAAAATAATAGGAAGAAAAGTACCAGGGTATNAAACATACACTATGCCGCGACAAACCGGTGTAGTATTCAAAAGAAAGGGTAGAAAAATTGTGTACGACGTATATTGCTTCATTATAAAACAGGGGAAGAATGATATGGAAAAATTAAAACAGACTTCGGAAGTAACAAAACCATCAGTGAGGACTGTTAGGTGCATTATTAAGGAAGCTAAAGGCTCTGGCTTGCTCGCCGTGTTGCGGACTCCGGTTAAGAAAAGATCAGGGAAGAAGAAAGTTACGGGAATGGATAGTTTCGTTCAATCGTAATAAAAAGATGTAATCATAATAACTACATAACAAGCAGCGAAACTCCGTACCGTAGAAAGGCTTCGAAAATTTTAAAGAAGATATAAATTTTAATGGCTCGGAATGAAGCTTACGACGTATTATGAAAGAGCTAGGCTTTAGATGGATAAAAAGAACAGAAAATAATCGGAAGCTGGTAATTGAAAAAAGTAACATTCGATTACTACGAATCGAATATCTTCAAAAAATAATTAATTATAGACAAAAAAGAAGACCGAATCGACCGAGTTGTAAACTACACCGATGAGCCCTATATCGACTAATCACGATGATAGCGACTCGGGTGATGAAAACAGTGATGATGATGATGGTCAAGATCATGATAACGAAAAAAAATATATACAAATACCAGCTTCGCTTCAACTGAACCAAGACCTGGCTCTAGTTTTGACTTAATAGAAGGAATATCTATGTATTTTACCCCAAGATTAAATTATTACAATTATTAACCCACATTTTTTGTTGATGTTCTAATAAATATATAAAAAAATACATATGTTGATTTTAATAATTTAATTGCATTATGACGCAGAGTAAATAATGTTTTTGCACGTGAGTGTACCATGCGCAAACTTACCCCCCCCTACGTCAACAAATGCTCAAGAAGTTTGCCGGCTATTATACACATTTTTGTATTTGTGTCTCTTACCTGTCGTTTTTTCCGTTGCATCCGGTTTGAAATCACAACGATTCTAAAGAAGTTTTCACTTCAAAAATTCTTAGCTTTTTTCCATTACATTTTATGTTTCTACTAGTCAAAATCGATCCACTTCCAGGTCGATCTACGATTTGACTTTTACTAGATTGCTACCAAACTACATATAAATTATAAGATCCTTTAATATAAGAAAAATCACCTACTTGTGCAATATGATCTATCCCGTTGAAAAAACACTTCTGTCTGACGAGTGCCTCCCAAATTTTTGCTTTTCTTAAAGTTTCTTCAAGTGCGGGTAGTAGGATTATAAATACTTCCGAGTTAATGTACTCGCATTCGGTTTCTAAATGTTATCGTAGTGGTTGTAATTATGGAAAGCTAAGTAAGTATTGTAAAATGAGTTGCAAATAAACACTGTTTGTCTGTTTATACTTTGCATGCCCTTGGATACCTAATTTATTTAGGCAATTTTTATTTTTATTTTTTTATTGCTTAGATGGATGGTCGAGCTCACAGCCCATCTGGTGTTGTGGTTACTGGAGCCCATAGAAATCTACAATTTAAATGCCGCCAACTACCATGAGATATGAGTTATAAGGTCTCAGAATAGTTAATTTTACTAACCAACTGTTTTTATGGTTAAAATTTAGTATTTCCGCCCGTGCTACTACAAACTTCAAAAGATCATGCATCTATCAATTATTCTAAAATATTGGTTGGGTGTAGACGTTCGATATTAGTGAAATGGGACTGTGGATTGATTATGTTCTGGGGATTTGGTAGTTGTGGGATAAACTTTATATGACGATATAATTATATCTATTCTAGGTAAGGTTTGCTTATTTTTCCGCTCGAAGTAATGACGAATTTATGTTTAAAGGGTTATATAAAATCCTTATTTTAATACAAATGAGACTTCGAAGTCATGTTTCAGAGTGAACGGTGCAATTTTAAGCTGTAGGTGGGCCGTGGTTTGTCACGCTTAAAAAAACAAACCTACTGAGAAAAGGTGACTTTGGCATGTCCTCATTCTTGCTTTCGACGTATTTTTGTATTTTCTGCATTCTCTCGTTACTTTCTTCTACAATCTCTGACCATTTTGCTTTCTTTTTTTTCTTGACGAAAACTGGAAAATCGATTTCGGAACACGGTAAACTATCAGGCAATTTAAAAGTCGCCAAAGCATCTACCATTTCATACGTTGTAGACTTTTGATCTTTGTTTTTCCCTTTCCGATCAGTATTTTTTGCAGCCATTGGATTGAAAAATATTTGGATTGTGAAGTTATGTTACTTAAGCATCCGATTGTAATAAACATAGATAGTACATTTAATAAGTAACAAATGTTTTGTTTTGACTGGTTTTGACACGCAAATTGAAACCAGTCTATCAATACTATATTCTTTAAAAAAAGTTTGCATACAAATATAATTTATTTATATCAGGTCTTTATCTATGAAGGTGCAGTTTAGTATACAAAAGCTAAGGTCATTTTGTTATAAATCGTATTTATTTCTATCAATAAAAATATGCACCTAAAGCATCGATGTATCTCTGCTATTGCAGTAGTAATTTTTATTAAAAGCTTTTCAAAACAATTTTGTATTGCCTCTCGGGTATTGGACTTTTTCCTGTCAGGAAGTTGTCTAAACTGCATAGCTTAAATCATGGATTCTCAAACTATATTGGGCAAGAGACATCTCTTTTGAATTGATCCTATCTCCAGTATTTTCCCTAGCGATACAAAATACTTTCCATTTAAAAAAAATTGCTGTTGATACACTCGTGGTGAGTAAACTTGACATCATTTAAAATTTAGTAAATAAGTAGATCATATCGGATTTTTAAATAAAAGTAAAAGTACAACAATGATACTTCCTAATAAAATAATAATCATTCTTACTCGTAACAAATTGGTACAAGTAAGACAACTTATACAATATCCTGAAAACTTCAAATATGAACACGTGTTAATTAAATAGAGTCCGATTTTCGGCTATGTCGACCTCCGGAAAACCGATAATAATCTCTTTGGGAATCCCTGGCTTAAATCATAATCATTTAACTATAATTATTTTGAATTAGGTAGTCAATTTACTTTTCTTCCATTCTGCCGAGGAGCAAATAATAAATCCGGTATTAAATATGTAATATGTTTATTAAAATAAAATTGCATAATGCATTTACACTGATACTCTGAATATTACCATCCAAAGTTTAGTACTAAATAATTTACGTTATTAAATATGAAGTCATAACTTATCTAATAAATAAGCGACTTTCAGTCAAGAGTGTATCGTAATTATAACAAAATTAAGATCAAACTAATAATTAGAAAATTTTCCCGTTATCTGGGATATCCAGTCTAAGTAATGAGATACTTTCACGTAGACACCAGGCACACCAACTTGTCCGCAGCCGATTCCCCATGACACCACACCCACAAGTTGCCATGTTCCTCCGCGTTCGCAGACCAGAGGACCACCGCCGTCACCCTTACAGGCGTCTTTTCCTTCTTCGCCTCCAGCGCAAATAAATCCTTGTCCCAATTCGTAATTGTAGCCCAATCTTGTTTGTCTTAACTGCTGCTGGCATTGACCATGTGACAGTATAGGTACATCGACTTCTTTCAATGTATTCTGGTATTTTCCGTTTGAGCCGAAAGCATCTTTTCCCCATCCGGTAGTCCAGCATCGNCCGTCACCCTTACAGGCGTCTTTTCCTTCTTCGCCTCCAGCGCAAATAAATCCTTGTCCCAATTCGTAATTGTAGCCCAATCTTGTTTGTCTTAACTGCTGCTGGCATTGACCATGTGACAGTATAGGTACATCGACTTCTTTCAATGTATTCTGGTATTTTCCGTTTGAGCCGAAAGCATCTTTTCCCCATCCGGTAGTCCAGCATCGCTGTCCCGAGTAATCAGTGTATTTATCGGGAAGACAAGCTGGGCTAATGTGAGGATAATTGGTCCATTCAACTGGATGATCCAGTTTCAGGATTGCCAGGTCGTTATCAAGAGTACCAGCATAATATAATGGGTGGATATGAACTGATAATACATCTCTTTCAATATAGGGGTAGAATTCCACATCGCGATTGACATCCCATTCACCTAATCGCACACGCAGCTCGAAACTCTTATATCTGAAAAAATATTTAAGAGATAAATATAAACAGCCAAATTACACGTATTTACTTCGGTATTGTGCAAGATCATCAGATGTACTTACGATTTAATACAATGGGCAGCAGTCATAATGTGGAGGCCATCAATGAGCGTTCCACCACAGGCGTAAACTGACTCTTTGGGGTCTTTCTTTAGAATAGCTGCTTGCCAGGGGTATTCGCCAAATTCACTTTCTCCATCAACGTAGGCAGGTGTTTTGATTCTTCCGTTTATGCCCTGTGAATGTCTAACTCCACACTGTCCACGGTTACTTGCTTGAGGTCTTAATGGTCGACGGCAGCACACCTGATTTGGTCGGCATTGTTGCACTAATGGACGGTTTGCATATCCTTGACGCTGAAAGTAGAAGAAGAAATCGTTGAGACCACTTTTGCGTTGGAGATTCTACACACCAGTCACAAACTAGGTTTACCTCTTGTATTCTTTGACTAGATTGATCAAAATTTTCTGATTGATTGATTTCTCGCTTCTTTCTGTTTTCAGGAAATCTAAAGGTTTGGCCTGTCGGGTTGGCCCCATTAGGTTTTTGTGGAACAGTGAGGGAACGGGAATAAGCGTAACGATTTGCATATTTTTGACCATTATCGTTCGTGCTAACATTTAGTGATCTTTCAAAACCGTAGTTATTATGGACAGGATTGTGTATATCATATTCGTTATTATAATGTTCATCTGTATCGTCGCTATAATAGTCATCATCTTCGTTTGAAGCGGTGGATTCATATAATTGTGGACGTGATTTAAAATACCCAGGATATTTGTTTTGATAGTGTGTATAATGCGGTGAATAAATAGGAGGACCATGATTTGTCGGTACAAGTGGAGGATGAGAATGGTGGTAGTAACCATACGAATTATGGTATGGTTGGTGGTGGTGGTAATGTTCATGTTTATTCAAAAGGTAGTGTTTCTTTTCATGGAAGAGGTCTCCAATCCTATTGACCACATGTTCGTTAGGTGTTATGTGCAAGTTTACTAGAGGCTTAACTATTTTTTCACCGTAATCATTTTTAGTTACCTCAATGGCTAACAATGGGTTTACGGAAAGCAAACCTAAGTTTATGCCGCCGCTATTGATTGCAGGTCCGTAAGGGTTGTGTATAGGACTGTGACCGTAAGGATTTATAGGATAACCATGGGAAGGCTGGGGCAACCCAAAAGATACACCAAACGTGGGCTGCACTTTTTTGTTGGTATTGACGCCGTTATCACCGAAGCCGGCTGATCCAAATAGGCGCTGAAGTGATATTTATTTTTATGATTAAGTTGATGATTGTAAATTACTAGTTATTTTTATATGTCAGTGCCCTTTGTTTAGTTTTTCTTTTGTTATCTGTTACAGTCAGGTTTACCAGAAAGGAGTTAAGTCCGAATGTAACAGCGTTACCCCAGTTTAATTTAATATTTTTATATGAGTTGAATGAAAGGATAAGGAGATGAGCGTGTTAAATGTTGATGAGTGATTTGATAAGAATTAAAATTTACGTACCGGTTCAATTTCTTTAGCTTGTTCCTGAGGCTTATCTTCTTTGACATCTCTTTTACTTATTTTCTTCACGTCATCATTTGTAGAGTTTTCAGTGTTTGCCATCTGAGTGATTTCGATATTAGTTATGTTATCAAGCTGTTCTTCGGTGAGAGCTACAATTTCGCTGCCTTTATTTCGAGGATCAATTGGTAGATATAAATCGTCCCGGCGTCCAATTATTTCTTGGCTCGGGCATTGGTCGTAGTTAACACATACACATTCAAATCCCTGTGCTTTGGCTTCATGGTAATTTTCTTGAAATGCGTTACTTTGTCCAAAAGTTGCTGGACCTTGACTGTATATGTTGTTACCAGATCCTACATGTAACTCTTTTTTATAAAAGTCGGAACTGTGTGAGGCATAATTTCCTAATGAATTACCGTACTTTTGATCTTCAAAAGCTTGATTTGGGTACTGATTCGGTAAACCCTGTGTCACAATATTTGAACTGCCTTTGTTGACATTGTTATACCCATATTGCCCGCCGTAGATTGTGTCCATTTCGTAAATTGGTTTGCTATCGATGAAACCACCAGACATAGGTTTAAAACCACCCGATGAGCTAAAATCTCCTCCCGCTGCAGTTATGATTTCTGAGTGCTGGTTAAGTTGACTTTGGGAAGCTAAGTGACCTACCGACCCTACTGGGATGGCGACAGGCTTAATTATAACTTTAGGGTCTTTTTCAGCGTCACTGTGTACATAGTGATGGTGGACGTGTTGTTGAACAACTGATTCTGTTTTCGTAGCCGAGTGCAATGATGACGGATTCTTGCTATATCCAGGTTTGTTTTCGAACACATAAGGTGCTTCATTTGCATAGCTCGGAGGTCTAGTTACGTAGTTTACATCACTTCCGCCGTAAGATCCGCTCTGCGAGAATTGGAAGTTGCTGTTTGAGACTCCGTATTTTTCAGAAAAACCGGGTCTTACGTTGCCCCCATATCCGATTCTTTTTGGTGGAGTTTTTTGAGGCCTAGGAGGATACAACATGGGTTTAGGTGGACCGTATGCCCTAGGGGGCCCTCGAATCGGAATCGAAGCAACTGGCTTTCCAATTGGCTTGATATCAACGGGTTGCGCGTAAATGAGTTCATCGGGAGAAACGTATGTACGTTTTTCTTGAGTTTCTTCGTCGTCACACTGTAAGTAATAAAATTTAATTTATAATAACTACATTGACATCATAACCGACAGTAGGCATCTTGGCGGCTATAAGAATCTTGTCTTATTTTACAGTGATCAATTATGGTTTAAAACAATTAATGAAATGAAATTAAAATCGAATATAAATTTTATACAATATATATTTTAATGCTTATATATCATTTTTATATTTTATTAAAAAGTTTGACTGTGATGAAAATAATAAATCGTTTGTTAAAAAATAAAGTTATGTATGTGGGCTTATATACTTACTTGTACAAGTCCCAAACTACAAAGGCGCCCTTTGATGAGATTTCTAGCTTCAGCGTCATCACCTGCGTCCAAGGCTTCCTTGATCGTGGGATCGCCGTATACATCGTCGAAGTTGTCGAAACCACCCAAACTTCTACCCTGTTTGCGGCTAACTAATTCATCGACAATATCATCGAGTACAGTTGCATTCGACTCCAAACTCTTTTCTTGCGCTTCGGAGACAATTTCACCTTCTAATAATTCTGTTTTTGCATCTGCCACATCTGCTGTTGAGTCTTTTTTATCACCACCCCAAGACCATTCCGCTAATGAGCCCCCTATCAATAATGATAGTAGTATGAATGTGAAATTCGTCCACCGCATGATCTCTAAAAAAAAAAGAATAAGAAATATAACAAATTACAATGTGGATAATATGTTATATTACGACTAAATCTCGCGAGAAGGAAGCATTCGTTTTGTAATAGCCCCGGCGTATCACTTTTACTTTCGCGCACAATCTGTAGTTACATAATCTGTATAAAGTCAGTGCTCTTTGGCAGTAGCCGCATCGTAGGTGACAGAAATGGTATTAATAAAACTTAATACATGTTCATTTTAAATATAAAATTGCTCAAATATGCAAAATAATAAACAAAATAGTAAATTGATGGTTGTTTCCGTGCTAGCAAATCATTCGTTTAAGTTTGTTATTAATGAGGTTGACCTCATTGTTTTTGTTTTGGAAGAAAGTATGGAATTGGTGTCATTGTCGTGGTTCGGTTCGAATTCGGTACACGGTTTGATTTAGCAGTCGTCCTGCGTTTCGAATCATGCGTCATAATTCTGTAACGTTAGTAATACAATTGCGCAACGCTTTAAGCGGTTTGTCCGTTTTATGCAACGCGTTACGGCATGACCCGCGGTTACAACGCGTTCTCTGGACATGAAAAGTTCTCCTTTTGTCTTTTTTAAAATGTTGATCTCAATGAAAGTATTTTTCTAATAAACGCTAAGGTCGTTTTCTATGTTTTATTTAGTTGTTATTGTTTTCTTTGTATTAATAATCAATTTTGAAATAAAGAAAAACTGTAAAGAGAAAATATTTTTTCGTATTTATATACACAGTAATATTTAATTCTTAGGGATAAACTCGATAATTTTCTTCATTCAGATTAAGGCTAAGTGTTACTTGAGCTTTAGAAAACGTTTAAGTTTAACGGAAAGTGAAAGCGCGTATCGTTCTGAGGATCTTGCGACTTCTTTGTGAAAATTATGCGTTTGGTTTCGTCGGTTGGTTTTCATCATATTTTAATTTAAAATATTTTTTAAGACATAAAAAACAAATTATTAATTTAATTTTAAAATGTTCGAAATCTTGCATTTGTCATTTTATATTGTACAATAACCGGACGTTGTTTTTTTTTTAATTGTAAATACGCCGATTTCGAGACACACTTTTTAAAACTTACATTATTTTGCACTCCTTATGTCACTTATTTGACGTCAAGTATTCACCACTTCACTGGCGCACTGTTTGAGTTCGAATGGCTTCCACTTCTACCACCGCCTCGCTTTATACTTCGACTAGTCTAAAGATGCACGGGCGCCGATTTGTAAGACAACTCACCCAGCCTTCTACCACAGATCATCGAATTGTCCACTAAACGACACGATGCCGGTACGGAGCAATCGTGAATCGTTCTCGTTCAGGTTGCATTGGTACCAGGCGTGACGTCTGTGTCTTGTCATTGATCTACCCCTGGTTAACTCATTCAAGTGAGTTCCGAGATGTTTGGCAATATGGGTTTTATTGAGGTCGTCTTTACGGATCTTCATTGTTAAGTATTAGGTTCATGGCAAATGTCATTTGAATTATTCAGGAAGATATCTTCTAAATAACATTTTGTAATAAAATAAATGTGTTAAATTTTTTCACCACGTTCGGGAGTATCGTAAATATTACTTCCTAATAGTGTGGAATATGAATATCGAATATTTAGATTTCGTATAGATAGGTAAGCGTGATCATCGTAACTTTATTGGTTTTCCGATAGAATTCAAAATTTTTATAATAATATCGTCTCTATGTAATTAAAAATATGTTCGTCGATAAGGGTTGGGTTTGATTTAGATGTTCGTAATAGGAACAGGTGCTAGAGAAATTAGGAATTACACAAAAAGATAACATCTGTCAAGTCATCAAATCAGAGTAACAGAGTATTTCAAACACGAAAACATACTGGGGGTTCGAACTCAGTATTCGACAAAAATGATCACATAAATCATGTAATTTTTTCTAATATGTAATATAATAAGTAACAATTGAGGTATATCAAAACACGGTAATTATACAGTAAGTATTTATATTGATCAGTGCGTTGGCTTAGTGATTACTGCATAGGGTCCGGTATCGATTCCTTGATGGGGTCAGTATCTTTATCAAATATTTGGTATTCGTCATCTGTATAATATACTTGTCTATTATTAAGTGTATTTTCGATTAAACCCAAAAACAACGCCTTATTTGGGACCCTTGAATCTATTAATAAATTAGGTAGTTACTGAAATGGAACACTTTATTTATTTATAAAACAAGTCCGCTAAGTTTGTTTCTCCGGTTCTTCTGAGTACTGTGGCCTTTTCGGGAACCAGTGGTAAAGTTCAGATGTTTTGACATTTAACATGTTTGTTATGCGTCTCAGTGTGACTTTTTTTTGCTTAGACGGGTGGTCTCTTTCACGGTCCACCTGGTGTTAAGCGGTTACAGCAGCCCATACATCTACAATATAAATGTCATCATGTACCTTCAAATATGAGTTCTAAGGTCTCAGTTTTTACAGTACAACTATAAATTTGATTTAAATTTTAATGTGCATTTTTATTGTATTCATTACTATTGTATTTTCTCCTGTTTTCGCGAGACGTAGACATAATTGAAGCTACTTTTATAGTTTAATATCGTGTTTCTTATTGTCATTATACTTTAAAGGCGCAGTCGTCTGTAATAACTAATACTAAAATATTCGACACGTCTGAAATAATAGCAAATTAATAATAAAAAACGGGTGAATAGATTATATACTTAGTTTTGGGTCTAGATTGTATTGCTTTCAATATATTTATAATGATCCTCTCGCTCTCCCCTTCTGCTAGTAGTGGGATAAAAGTTAAAAAGCAGTACTTTACAAAGAGGAAGAAACGACTCTACAGTATTGTTCTGTATAAAAATGCGCTTCGGAAAAAATTCGAAAATATTCGGAATTTCGAATTCGAATTATTTAAGTCGTCGTGGCCTAAAGGATAAGACGTCCGGTGCATTCGTGTTGAGCGATGCACCGGTGTTCGAATCTCAGGCGGGTACCAATTTTTCTAATGAAATACGTACTCAACAAATGTTCACAATTGGCTTCCACGGTGAAGGAATAACATTGTGTAATAAAAATCAAACCCGCAAAATTATAATTTGCGTAATTACTTACTGGTGGTAGGACCTCTTGTGAGTCCTTGCGGATAGGTACCACCACCACCACCCTACCTATTTCTGCCGTGAAGCAGTAATGCGTTTCGATTGGAAGGGTGGGGCAGCTGTTGTAACTATACTGAGACCTTAGACCTTAGGTGGGTGGCGCATTTTACGTTGTAGATGTCTATGGGCTCAAGTAACCACTTAACACCAGGTAGGCTGTGAGCTCGTCCGCCCATCTAAGCAATAAATAAAAAATAAATAAAAATTCGAGTATGTTTGTCCAAGGCGAGTAAAGTTTATGCTTTATTATTATTTAAATTAAAATTAAAAAAAAATATGATAACAATAAACTTCTTCAGTTATTTGATTTCCAATTAATGGCATCGAATTGTTGACAATAATAATAAGTTCTTTATTCCATGCAAGTAGTAGGTTACATGCATATTTTAAATATAAAGAAGCAAAGAAAAAAGAAAAAGAAAAAAAAATAGTGATGCTATTAACGTATTTCACTTTTTTCTTCCCTCCGTTCCTCCTTCTTCTCTCTTTCCTCTTCCTTTAAAAAGTATAAATGTAGATAGTGCTTTTAAAAAAAAGTTTAAATTGTGAATACAGAAGTTTGTTTACATGAACTGTTGTTTATTTGCAACGAATTGTTCATACTAATACCAAATAAAACGAACCTTTAATTACAAAGATAAATGTCGCGTATTAAGCGAAAGGTCGCCTTTAGCCTTTCACCCTTACGATATATAACAGTTCAACATACAAATTTGTATCTGCTTAGCTCGTGTTCATGAATGATTTACACAACGGATTATTCTATCTAATATATAAAATTCTCGTGTCACAATGTTCGTTCCCATACTCCTCCGAAACCGCCTGACCGATTCTCATGAAATTTTTTATGGATATTCAGTAAGCCTGAGAATCGGCTGCTATCTATTTTTCATACCCCTAAAATTTTTTTTTTATTTGGATTTTTTTTTGTTTGTTATAATGAGGTATTATGTGGTTGAATGAGGTTTTGTTATTTTTATTATATATTCCCTCATCGTTCACAGCACTACATACCTCTTTCACTCATTTACCACACCCTTACACACTTACAATAAGTTTTTTTTTTTTTTCTACACTAGAAATTCCCTAGAAATCTTATATATGGCAAAACAATGTTTGCCGGGTCAGCTAGTCATGTTATAAAAATCGTAGCGGTCAATACAGAATTACAGCAGGCGTATCGTTAGCCCGGATGGGAAGATACCTCTATCCTGGAACGCAAACCAGCTACCATTCCGGTTGAGGAGTGATACAGCTAATAAAATCGAAACCATTATCTCATTTATTAAGTGGGGTGGTAGTATTCACGTTGTGACAATGAGCTCCCGTAATCACTGAATGCTAAGTGGGTCGTGAGTTCATTCACCCATGTAGAGGTAGAAAAAATACTAAACTAAATTTTTGATTCTGTTATAAATACATTCTAGCATACACAGTCATATTGTGCAAACTGTGTTGGAGAGGTCGTATTGTTACCTAATGCTCTAAAAATGACGCCTACAAAGAATCCTCGTTCATAGCGTAGGAGCCTTATCCGGAGTTAGTCAACTTTCCTTTGAACCTTTTTAGTGGTTTTATCGATAAACTAATATATGTAAGACCTATTTTCGTAATAGAATTTTGTTTATTATTTACAAAATTAAATCGTTTTTGCAATTGATCCATTCAGAGCTCTGTATATTTTTTATTTCGTATAAAAGATTTCAACGCGTTCGAAGCTTTTGTTTGCGTAATGTTTTTATTTGTGAATAACATTTCAAGTTTATTCATATTTCTGTTTTTTAGATACTATGGGTAGACAGACTCACTGCCTACCTAGTGTTAAATGTTTAGTGGTAGGCATAATTATGGCAGACGTATCCACTTTCACGGTGTAGTTTGAAGTACGTAAGATAAGAAAGTTAGGCTTAGTTAGATGTTAGGTAGGAAAACTCGTAACGATATGAGCACTTAAAAGAAAATTAATTTGAAGAGGTCGGGGCCCATAACCTGTACTTTAGTGATAGACTATTATTATTAAAATCTTTTAAATGTAGATCACAATACGCTTAACTATAGATGTGTTTATGCATTACATTATTATTTGTAGATCTTTTTTTGCAAGGTATGGAAATTAGACTGACAAATGATTGAAAAAAAACCTCTTTTTTTTCCTAACTAATCTTCTCAATTGTTACAAAACAAAAAAAATGTAAATAAGTTGACAAACAAAGAATTAAAAGTTACTGAACGGTCTTGTCTTATATATAACTTTTTATAACTATTTATAATACATACATTGATAAGCTATTATAAACAAATACATATTCAGTAAGCAAGCCAGTTCGTTCCGAGCGTAATTGAAGCGCGCAAATATTATATTATACTCTATTCCAATTACGAAGTCCCATTTGACAGATGTTATTATTATGTTATTGTGTCTGTGAATTCATTGTATAATGATTTAGATTAGATTGTGTATTTTTAAATGATGATTTACGACCATGAACATAAAATGTTTATTATTACAAATTATGCGAAACGTGATGAGTTAAGTTCTAAGAAGTGTCAAAAGGGCCTTCGGAATTGGAATAGAGTATAGTCAATGTGAGTTTCTCGCCGGATCTTCTCAGCGGGTCGCGATTCCGATCCGGTAGTAGATTTATTCGCGAAGCAGCTACTCTTGAGTTGTTAGGTCTCCTTCGGATGCGCTCGGGTAGTTGTTAGAAAATCCCGCCCCTTCTGGCTGAGTCCTTGCTCGCCAACCTGTCCTGGTGAAACTGGAAAGGCCTCCGGGCCACCATTAATACTTCAATCCTAAAATCTATATATGTACATAAAAATGAATTGCTGTTCGTTAGTCTCGTTAAAACTCGAGAACGGCTGGACCGATTTGGCTAATTTTGGTCTTGAATTATTTGTGAAAGTCCAGAGAAGGTTTAAAAGGTAGATAAATATGAAAATCGGACGTCGGACGGATTCCTTTTGTTTGTTTTAAGTTTATTTTATACAAAAGCTTAGGTCTTTTATTTATCGATTGAGGCAATACGAAGTATGCCGGGTCAGCTAGTAAAAAAAAAAAAATTGTGTCCCGTTTGATAGCACGCACGCTGCTTTATTCAGTACGTAATGAAATGGTTCGTCGAACCGTTGCGCAAGGGCCGCTAAGCAAGACCGCGTGCAGCTCCGGCTCACCTGGAAACCCCCTCTTGAGCAAGCTGCGATACGCGTGTAACATCTAAAATCCTGCTTTGCTGAATCAGCTATAATATGATTTTACGACATCTACATTTTGGTTATTTTCGTAGTAGTTTGAGTTATTTGATTTAAGACAC